TCATAGTTACTTGAGCTGAATAAAGATTACTGTTTTGCTACCTATCTTGCCGCGTCCTTCTCTTCGCCCCAAGATGCAAAAGGCGTCAAATTGGTTGGCTATCACTTTAAAGAACAATGAAAACATCTGTTAACAGCCTCTGAAAACAGGGAGGCAGTGGCGTTTCTCTCACCTAAAGAAGCCATCTTTTGATTTGACATTATACACTATTACATTATTCCATCTTCTCTTTTTTAAGGAAAGATAATGGAAAAAGTGGTTGGACTACCTGAGATGTAGACTATTTTATTCCTTTTTATTCAGCATTGAATAGAGGAAATGCAGCTTTTCTGGTCCTATTAGAGCTATCAGTGGTGTTTGATATTATTGCCCCTAATCTCCCACTGAAGTGAGGTGTAGATGATGGGCCATTGTAGTGGTTCCAGTCCTTGACTGGGTTTATTAGACAATGAGTTTTCAGACTCTTGACCACTACTATATATGATGCCAAAGAGTTTAACTCTTTCCCCCATTTTTAACATTAATCTGAATCTACTGGGGCAAGTAATGAATGGGGTTCGAGTCATCAATATTAAAGATAATGAACTATATATCTCCAATCCAGATTAGGCAGCAAATACAACAAGGTCCTTACCTGATGTCCCAAGGCAGTAAGGAGACACATGGAACAAATCTAGTTAAAATTGAATCCCAGTAACATGGAGTTGCTATTGTCAAGGAAACATTTGGAGTCCTTTGTACAGATTCTTAGTAGATTACCATTCCCCCTAAAAGCAGATCTGCAATTTGGGGATTTCTTGGATTTACAGACTCTATTAGATTGGCAGGGGTGTCAAACTTGGGGCATCATGTTGTCGTCACATGACGTATCGTGACCTTCCCCCCCCTTTGCTAAACCAAGGGTGGGCGTGTCCAAACTGCGACGCATCTGGCCCGCGGGCCACAAGTTTGACACCCCTGAGGTAAAGTCTGAAGCCTGGACAGCTTCTGCCTTACTCTGGCTGGTCTACCAGCTGTGCTCTGTTAGACTGGGAGGTCCTAGTAAAAGTTACTCACACTATTACAGATTTGCATTGAACTCTACTCAGGGCTGCTTTGAATATGATCAAAGACATGGTGCTGATGGGAGAAGCCTGCAGCAGAATGGCAACCATATTACAGCTTTACATTGGTTGCTAGTGATTTTCTGAGGAAATTTCGAGATAACCATAAAACCATATATGGTTTGGGCCCAGCTTACCTGCAGAATATTCTCCAAATAGAATCTGTTCTTCGTGTTTATTGAATTCAGAAGAGACATTGTGATTACCTCTACGGAGCTTGTGAAGGAGAGCCACAACCAGACTTTTTCAGAACCAGTCTCTTCCTCCTAGAACCGTGTGTCTTAAAAAGTGGTCTTTGTCTGACTTCTAAATGTCCATCAGTTTTTGTCTTTCTCGGTGCAACAAAAAACTGGGATTTTCAGCAAACATTTGTGGATTGAAATTTTGGGCATGCAGATATTTTAATTGTTTTACACCAGGTTTAAGGAAGGATTTTTCATTTATTGTTTTAAATTATTTATTGTTATTAACTACCTAGAGTTTATGAAAGAGGACACAAACATTTTGTGTAAATAAGTAAGTAATTCTTAGCTATTCATATAGGTCTTTGTTTCCACCTAAAGTGAATCCAGGGATTTAGGTCACATGCATACATACAAATAAATAAATGAATAAATTGAGAGTCCCCTAAACTGGAAGATGAATATATGGAATATTCTAACGCTATTTTCTACATGTAGAGACTTTATTCATTCTTAATCATTTAAACTCAGCTGTTTAGCAGAAGGTAGAAAAATACCAAGTGGGTCACGAATTTCCAACACTGTTCTCCTACTCATTTCATTCTACTGAGTGAAATGAAGGAATGAATGTTTTTATCACATTAAGACATTTGGAACATTTCAGATTTCAAGCTTGAATAGCAATGCTGCTGCATTTTTATAATTCAAAACCCATAAAAGATTTATCATACATTCATAAAATCATACTTTTTAAAAACTACTCAGTGCCTTAATTACTTATAGCTTTAATCAAAATGATGATGTAAACCACCCAGATTCCCTTAGGTGGAATGGGCACTATAGAAATTTAATAAATAAATTTATGTGACTAAAGAATATAAGTTCACTCAAGTCTGATATCTTCTAGGCGTTTTAGAATCAAGTCACCTTGATCTCAGACATTGCAGCTAAAAATAAGAGAATGTATAGCAAAACATTTGGAGTGTATTATAGCATCTATTTCTGGTCTACTCTTCCTTAAGGTGTCTTCATATTTTTACCTGCTGGCACATTTAAGAAAATTATCAGTAATTAAGGTTTCAACTTGTATTGCTTTGGACCAGATGTTGTCTTTAGTTTGTGCAAATAAACAGAGCGTATTACAAACACCAGTCTGTGCTACAGATGATAAACAGACCTTTGGGAATGACTAATGTAATTATAAAGTGAACAAATTGTGAGCTAACTTGAATTATAGGAATAAAGGTAAAGATCACAGATCACAGATATTTGGAAGATCCTTCACAATAGTTTGCCTACCATTAATAAAACATTACTTAATCTTTTAATCTGCAGAGCTTTTTAAGACATCACATCCTCCATTATTAGGTATTGTCTGCTAATGGCTAATATCTCCTTCATTTGTCTTTTCCAAATTCTAGTCATCCTCTCATCAAATCCTATTCTCCTGCATATTTTGTATAGCTTTATTGGCCATCTTTTTAAACTTAGGGCATGTTTATAGCAGGAAATATGTGGATTCTGTTTGAAATTATATTGCTGACAATGTAATTAATACAAAAATCAGTTTTCTGGGTTTGTGTCATAAAGAAAACTCTTTGCTAGCACAACTGTTTTAATCTGAACTATTTATGAAAATTATCCTCTCTTCGAAATTCATTGCTTATATGACTATGTTCAATATTTACTTTGATTTTAACTTTACCAGAGTAATCGTTCCAGAGTAAGGTTCTACATTTAGGCAAGAAAAACGAAATGCACAGGTACAGTATAGGCGGTACCTTGCTCAATAGTAGTAACTGTGAGAGGGATCTTGGAGTCCTAGTGGACAACCATTTAAATATGAGCCAGCAGTGTGCAACAGCTGCCAAAAAAGCCAACACATTTCTAGGCTACAGAAACAGAGGGATAGAATCAAGATCATGTGAAGTGTTAATACCACTTTATAATGCGTTGATAAGGCCACACTTGGAATACTGCATTCAGTTTTGGTCTCCACGATGCAGAAAAGATGTGAAGACTCTAGAAAGAGTGCAGAGAAGAGCAACAGAGATGATGACTGGAGACTAAAACATATGAAGAATGGTTGCAGGAACTGGGTATGTCTAGTTTAATAGAAAGAAGGACTAGGGGAG